CTCACAGCCTCTGTCCCCCATCTGTCTCCCAGGCCTTTTGTTTCCTGGCCTGCACATTCAGCCAGACCCCTCTGGAGTCCTTGAGCCCCCAAAGTGGTCCATTCCCCCATGTGCTGGTGCCCCACAGGACTGGTTCCACTGGTGACAGCCTGTGCCTGCCAGTGCCAGCCTGTGCCTGCACCCCTGCACCAGGGCAGCTGGCTGGGGCAAGACTTGGCTGGCTTGGGGCTCACAGGGCCAGCTCAGGGCCTGGCATAGCTCCACTCCAGCCTTGTTCCTGACAAAAAGGCCTCCTCCATCCTGGGCATTCTAGAACACGTCATAGGGCAGATGGTGGGGGCGGTGACTGATCTGTACATCACAAGCACATCTTAGGCTGCACTCAGTTGGTCAGGGAGCTTTGTAGCAGCACTGTCTATATTACTGCCTCCCCTGTGCTTAGCACAATGCCTGGCACATGGTTAATAAATACCATAATGGACATGGACGCTGGGTAAAACTGGGTGCCAACTCCCTTGCCTTCAGGAAGGCAGTAAAGCTCCACCTTTAGCCTAGACTCCACCTATATGTCTGTGAGTGTTCACCCAAGCCTTGGCACACAGTGGAGCTCAGTTTACATCAGATCAGGCTGACAGTTCTTCAGTGCTCCCAGAGGGCAACCCCAGGTGCTCCTGGATCCCAACCTCCATTTCTCCTTTAAGCCTATACATCTCAATCCCCAGAGGGCCCTTATGCCGGGGAGATGGCTGGTAAAAGTCTGGATTAAATTCAAGTTTAGGATGAGCAATGGTATTGAATTATTGGTGATTACCTATGTAATTATCCATGGCAATAGAGTCAACAGATAATTCTGACCACTCGGGATGGAGGTGAAAGATCTAGGGTGCATGCCTCCTGGTGGGTCATGTGGAAACAAGGCAAGGGGCCAAGTCTTCAGGCTCTGCGCACACACACACCCCTACACACAAAGACCTCATATACACACACAGAGACATATACATATATACAGAGATGCAAAGGTCAGATTACACATATACGTAGGGACATAGAGACACAACAGACAGATACACACAAACATCATATACCTGCACTCTAGAACACAGACATGCTCACACACCCTGCTCTGGCCAGTACTATGGAGGGCAGCTGGAGACTGTGGGTAGAAGTCTGCCCAGAGGCTACTCTGAGTCTCCAGTCCCGGGTTTGGGTTTGCTTGTCTCTGCCTCACTCTGGCACATCCAGGATAAGTGTCAGGAGCCCAAGCTCCTCCCCAAGCACGCACTCTGCCGCCACTGAGCTCCCAGGACTGGCAGGCTGACAAAGGGTAGGGAACAAATGATGATTGAGCACCTTCTGTGTGCCAGACACCAGGACGTGGCACATCAGTGCCAAAGGGATGATTTTCAAACTTTTTGGAACCATAAAACCCTTTGTTTAAGGGGACCATCATAGGAAAGCCCAGTAGATAAAGCAGGAGTAAGTGGAGCTGCTCCGGCTGGAGATGGGAAGAAGGCTGGCGCCCCATCCTCTCTCCTAAACTGCACCCCTCAACCTAAGATAAGCCCAAATAGCTGTAAGGCTGTCATAGCCGTTGGAAAACCACTGCAGGGCACTCCATTTAACACTCGGAAACAACTCTGTTTAAGGTGCACATTATAATCGCACTTTGCAGATGAGCAAACTGAGGCATCACTAGGGAAGGTAAATAACCCAAGCTCACAAAGCTCTTAAGAGATGAAGTCGGGGCTCGGCCCCTATAGCTCAACCGGCTAAGGCGCCAGCCA